TTTTTTTTTTTTTTTTTTTTTTTTTTTTGGTACCGGGGATTGAACTGGGGTCCTCTCGATTGCAAGGCAGGCCACCAAACCGCTGAGCTAAATCCTCAGCCCCTCCTTGTTGCTTCTTTTTGCCTGTGGCCCCAACTCTGACCCCTGACAGAGGCTTTGGAGATGAACACCTCTCTTACCAACTGCTTGCTGAGGGCCTGTCTTCAAGTTTCACCAAGAGCATCATTAAGAGTGTTGCTGCCAAGCCTTGGAGGGTGGGCTCCTTCTTACCTGCCCCATCCCCAGCAAAAGCTCAGGTGGGGCTCAGGGTGGGGTCCCTGTGGGGTCCAGACAGTCCAACCCTTGAGCCTGAGTCTCCCCTAGTTCCCAAGTGTCTGGACACCCACTTTGTCCTGGTGAGGGGCCAACCCAGGGCTCTAAGGAATAAGATGAAAACTCCTCTTTGCCACAAGGAAAGGTAGGAACAAGTCTGGGCCAATGCCAAGGGGTTTCCCAGGAAGCAGAGGGATTTTAGGCCTGACACCCTAGTGGCTTTGCCCAAATGGGAGCTTTGCTGTGGAAAACAATGGAAAGGCCTCATACTAAATTACCAGCTCAGAAGGGTGTCTTTAGGTAAAGAGACTCCAAGACTTTTTTTTTTTTTTAATGGTATTAGGGATTGAGGGCCTTCACGCTGAGTTACACCTCAGCCCTTTTATTTTTATTTTTTAAATTTTGACAAGGTCTCAAGTTGCTGAATTGCCCAGGCTGGGTGTGAACTTATGATCCTCCTGCCGAAGTCTCTCAGAGTGCTAGGCTTTCGTCTGGGCCACCATGTACGAATAGTTTTTTTCACTCTCTCCAAATTATTATTTTAAAAATTAATTTTATTGGTACATTTAAAGTATACAACACAATGACATTCATCATTGAAAATTTGCACCTTTACATAATCCATCTTGGTTCTCCAAATTATTAATGCTGAATATGTTTTCTATGAGAGACAGAATAGCCTGGTATTTTTGGAACCAGATGGCCTGAGTTCAGTTCTTACAAACTGTTGTACCCCTGGCCAAGTAACAACCTTTGCAAGCCTCAGTCCCCGTAGTTATAAAATGAGGTTTATAAGGATTAAAAAAGTGATGGTAATGATCACTCTGTGAAAAAACCTGCCACCTTTACTATTATAAACATATATAAAGAAAATGCTAACACAGGACTGGGTCCTATGAAATGTAGACCGGTCCCAAGCGAGGCCTTAGCTGAAGACCAGACCCTGCCCAGCTGGGTGTCCACAGGTGACCGAAGGGGCACCTTGCCCGCAGCCTTCCCTCTGCAGACGTGGTCAGATGGCTCAAGGGCGCCTCCTCTCTCTGTCCTGGACACTCCTCAGGTCTTCACAGGCTCTGGAGCGCTCAAGGTGTCCTTTTTCAGGAGTCATTCAGTCCAAGCTTCCCCAACCCCTGAGCGCCTTTACTCTCCCTTCTCCGCTGAAGCTCAAGGTTGAATCTGGAAGCCAGGCTGCCTGACCCCTCCTGCTGGCTCGGGCCTGTCGATCCTGACTCAGTTCCTGTCTGTTTCCTCCCTTTGCCTCTGGGCCTCTGTTTCTCAAGTCCAGGAGCGCAGGCAGGCAGGAGGCAGCAGGCCCCGGCACGGCTCGGAGCTCCACATCAGTGACCTGAGTCAGCAGGACAGTGGCTGGGGCTGCAGCCCAGGCGGGCTTTCCTCATCCTGCCTGTCCCTCTCCTCTCTTCTGAAGCGCCCATCCTAGCCCTAGCAGCAGCTCACAGGCCCTGGGACCATACTCAGCCAATCCTTCCTAAGCTTATAGCAACAGGCTTTGAAGGGCTATGCGCAGAGAAATCAGGTGCCATCTACTGCACTAAGAACAGACGGCAGGGTTCTAGTTAAGACTTCAGAAAGAACTTCCTCCATCTCTCAAATTCAAAATAAAGAGGTAACTACAAGAAGCTCTAGCACCTTCTCCTCCTTGTTAGTTGTAAGAGGCAGCTGAGTGCCTTCTCTACCAGTTGCCTTTGGGAAGGGATACTAGATTACTTTCAAGTGACTCAGCTGCTCTGAGTCTTTCTCCTCAAGGCACTGCTGTTGAAAGTAGCCCACATCTAAACCAGTCGAGTCTAGGAGATAGTGGGGAATTTATGCAGAGAATGGAATGAGGTCAGGGTGTGGGGCTGCATTCCAGCTCTGTTCTAAGGCCTTGGGCAGGTCCCTTCCTGCCCCTGGGTTCAGCTTCTGCAGTAGAGGAAGGAGGAGGGTCGGAGGCTGCCTAGTGGTCATCTCGAAGCCCCTACTGCATATGACCCAGGGCTTCTCAAGACCCTTTTCTCCCAAGCCAAGCCAAACTCATCCTGAGCAGAACAGAAGGGGAGAGATCAGGTTCCAGTCCTGGATTTGCTGCTCTGCCAGCTGAGTAACCCTGGCCAGCTCTTGAACCTTTCCCAGGCCTCAGTTCCCTCATCTGTAAAAGGGCTGACACCACCTTCCTGAGTGAGGCAAAGGTGAGAAAATGAACTGCCACTTGGCAAGCCCTTGCCCGGTGGCAGCAGGGTATAGTGTGTGTCTCCATGTCAGGTGGCAGGAGATTGTGATCCTGGGGTGTGAGCCCCAGACTAGAGTTAACCTTTCTCACCCTGGGCTGTGGCTTTCAGAGTTCGGGTCGGCTAAGGCTTGAAAGGTCTGCACTGGACAGACCCAGGCTGCTGGCTGCTGCTCCCACATTCCTCCTGGCTTCGTTGTCTCCTTTATTTTTTTTCTCTCCTCATTGAGTTTATTGGTACATTTTAGGTATACAGCACAGTGACATTCATCATTGGGATCTTGTACCTTTACAAGATAGGTCTTGGTTCTCATTTGTTCGCCTTGTCCCTGCCCTCCCTTCACCCCCTCCACCCCTCCCCATTTACAAACACTTCATTTCCATCGTTGTCTCCTTTAAACTCCAGAACAGTGCCGACCAGGTAAGCCAGGATCAGCATATCTGCTGCAGGCCCACCCACAGACCCAAAGTCAAAGCGGTACCACTTAGGGTTTGGCAAGAAGGGAATCTTTATTCTGGTTATAAAAGGTACAGGACAGCAGACAAGCAGCCCTGGGCTTAGCTGCTTTTCTGGGGCCTGACTGGGCTTCCTTTAGATCCTGTGAGGAACATGGGCTGGGCAGAGCCAGCTCCAGCCCTTGGGTCTCCCTGCATCCTGCCCACGGGGAGAGGCCGTGAGAACAGCACTGAGCTGAGCTGCTCCCGCTTTGAACAGTCACCAAACTTGCTCAACAGCGTCATCAGCACCCCAGCCGGCTCCAGAAGAAACCTGCTCAGCTTGACTATGGCTGTGCCAGATTTGGATGATTGGGGGGGGCTGTAAGACCAGGTTCACAGTCTCCTCACAAGGCTGGGGAAGGGAAAGTGAGGGGAGGAAGAGAAGTTTCAGCATAGTGCTACAGCATTGCGCTGATGCTGGGTATGGCTTTCTGCACTCTGGCTGGCACGGAGTGGAGGTGGGGGCAACGGGCCAGCCCCTGCCCCATGGGGGGGCCTAGAGAGCATAGGGCAGGCTGGGGCAGACCCTGTAGGCACAGATGGTGGCAGACTGGCCACAGGTTAGGCAGGTGGAGGTGCCGGGTACCTGGCTCCCCCCAGGCCACCCCTGGAGAGGCAGAGCGCAGCGGTCCTCAGGAGGTCCTTAAGCCCTCGCACACACTGCAGATCCCCGGCAGGACAGCAAAGAAGAAGAGAGAGGGTTAGTGGGAGGGAGGGGAGGCGGCCTGCAGGGGCAAGTGTGGGGACAGGGGCTGCCACAGCACCCGCCTCTCCCCCGGGGAAGGGCAGCAGGCAATTGGGCAGGACAGAAAACAGGCGGGTGAAAGAAAGCTTAGCAGGGACAGAAAGGAGACACAGGAGTGTTAGTGACCAAGGTCC